TTTTGGCGTTTTCCTTTTTAAAGAATGCTTGGGGCCAATTGATGAAGTCACAAGGTTTACGTTTCTCTTATCTTTTTAGATCAACGGGAAAGATGAGTGTCGAAATTACACCTCAATCGTATTTTTGGTTTCTTCCATATATCTTTTTAGATAATGGCACTTTAGGGGTGTCTTCATCGAGTGTTCATCTCTCTAGCACATTAGTTTCATTACTATTACTATTTCCGCCTTTAATATGTTTTTCAAGCCGTTTCAAAAAATTTCAAGTGTTTCAAAAAAGATAAATAGGAAGCAGGTTACCAAATAAAAATATGTATTTCCATCATATTGTATTGCAAAAGTAGATTATCATTATTTTATTTAGTTATTTATAAATTTGACACACAAGTTATTTACAATCATAAAACAATTGCTTCTGTTATAGGAGCTTATAGTTGTTGTACGGAATTCGATATTAGTAGATCTGTAAATCAAACAATACAACGTCCGAAATATAACAATTTTTTTTATTAGATTGCCTCCTATATGAGCATTGAACGAGTTTACGTTAGCCATTCATATGGTACATTTTAACATTTAAAAAAATAGACGAAAAAAATGTTTGTGGTACATACAAAAATTACTCATGCTGCCTAATTTTTTTTTGGACCATAGTTTGACATGTTTAATTAAACCAACCTTTCTAGTTTTCATACGAAAAATTGATTAGTTGAAATTATCGTAGTATATTAGGATATTACTTATTCATAGAATAGAAAAATAGTACAAGAACTTTTATTATAAAAAATCATGATTACGAGTCATTTATGAACTTATGTAATGATTTATTTATAGAAAATAAATAAAAACAAAATCAAACATAAACACACATGCTTACTCAGAACATGTCACATTTGGTAGGTCAAATGAATGGGGAAAATGACTTTTGGTTATTTTATTATTTATAGTAGTATTATTATTGAAAATTATAAATAATAAGCCTCTAATTAAGCACCATACCTAATCAAGCAAAGGTATTAATTTAGGGGGCTTTAAATGGCTAGTCAGTTGAACCTTCAAATGGCAATTTAATAGTAATTAGCATTTTAAACTTGATAGGATAATTACTCCAAGATTCTGTCCCTCCATTTCAATTACCATATTACCCTTCAAGACTTTTTATTAATTAAAGAAAACGTCTTTTCACCATAAAAGCTTTTTCTAATTAACATGTTTATTACTATGAGTTGCATATGATTAATGGATGGGTCCATTAGTATTATCAAAGCAAATGGACGGCTAGGATTGCTTAATAATTGGGTTTCTTTATTCTTCTTCTAATCCGGAATTTTAACAGATTAAGTGTATCTTCAAAATCTTATGTGTATATATTTTTACCCAATATCTCTCTATATATAAAATATAAAAAAAACTAATATTTCTATTCAAATAAAAATTAAGCTTTCGGGTTCTTAGATAAAAACCGAATATGACTTCTTATGTTTTTAAGTTTTAACGTGTGTGTTGAGTGTCTGCCTTTTAACTAACTTGACGTTGAAGAGTTTATAATGTTTATTAAAAGATTCTGTTTTTACAACAAACTTATATCACCCAAAAGTTATAATAAAGCTTCCATATATACCCATGAGAGGTAAAGATTCTAAGAAAGGGGAAAAAGAAAGTCTCCATTGTTTCTCAATAGAAACAAAGATGGGAATGTGTACATATACTAGATTATATGTATACATTGATATTACCCAAAATAATATTTTATTAAAAAGGGGCTTTTTTATTTCTGCAAAAAGAAGTAGATAAAAAAAAAAAAAAAAAGCAAAAGACAAATCCAGAGAGAGAGAGAGAGAGAGAGAGTTTTTGATTCTGTGTATATTGTTGCGTTGAAAGCCATTCAATCTGTTCTGGCCAAATTTCCCCCATCATTGTCAATATGTATTAAGCTCCAGTCCAAGTCACTATCTTGTTTTCTCTCTCTCCAAGATCCTGTTTCTCTCTCTATTATCTTTGAAATCATTCTTTTTTCTTTCTGGGGTGGTTTTGTTCGTCAACAAGGTGGTCAAACAGATGAAAAAAATCCAAACTTTCTGAATCTTGTGTGTTTCTTGAATCTTGTTTGATCTCTTTTTCATCATCTGGATTTGTGTTTCAAGTTATAAAGAAAAAAAACAACAAGAAGATGACTGTAGAGGAAATTAGAGGGTCTAACGAAATTGACAGATTTCCCATTGGGATGAGAGTTCTTGCTGTCGATGATGATCCAACTTGTTTGAAGTTATTAGATGGGCTTTTAAGGAAATGCCAATACCAAGGTTAGCTTCGTTTCAACTGTTGTTAAAAGATTATATTCTTTAAAGTGTTGACTCAATCATTTTAACCTTTTCAGGGTTTCAATCTTTTTTATTTTTTATCCCTTTTCATGAAAAATTGAGTTAGGTTTCTGTTAAAAAACATTTGATTTTCGATTTTACAGTTACAACCACAAGTCAAGCCATAACAGCATTGAAGATGTTAAGAGAAAATCGAAACCGATTTGACCTTGTGATCAGTGATGTTCATATGCCGGACATGGATGGTTTCAGGCTTCTTGAACTCGTGGGTCTTGAAATGGACTTACCCGTTATCAGTAATTCACTAATTCCCATTTCAATTTCTTCAATTTCTCCAATTCCGAAGTCAAAATCGACGTGGGTTTCTAATTTTTCTTTGAAATTGTCAACAGTGTTATCGGGAAACAGCGACCCGAAGCTTGTAATGAAGGGGATAACACATGGGGCTTGTGATTACCTTGTGAAACCAGTTCGTTTGGAGGAATTACGCAATATATGGCAACATGTGATTCGTAGAAAAGTGGAGTCAAAATCTCAATCGAAATCTGACAACCAAGATAGGCAGAATCACGGAGGTGAAGGTGGACAGGAAGCCGGAAGTGGAGATCTGAATGGGAAACTTAATCGGAAAAGAAAAGATGAAGATGACGATGGTGAAGATAATGGGAATGAAGATGACGATCCATCTTCGCAGAAGAAGCCACGTGTTGTTTGGTCTATTGATCTTCATAGAAAGTTCGTTGCTGCTGTTAATCAACTTGGAATCGAGAGTGAGTTTTTCCTTCTTTTTGTTCTTGTGTTCGTATCTAAACTTGTTTCATCGACACTCTTTGATGATTCCTTTTTTCTATTTTTATAACCAGAAGCTGTTCCTAAAAGGATCCTTGATTTGATGAATGTCGAAGGTCTTACTAGGGAAAATGTAGCAAGCCATCTCCAGGTTTGCTTTTTTACCATATTTCCTAGTATAATTTTAGGGTTTTTTTTTGGTAATTTCAATTCCATTGTGGATTGATGTTTTTGAAGAAGTCTTGTGGGCCAGTTTAGGGTTGTTAGCATCTATCTAGCTGCACAATGTTTATGTACTTTGATTTACATCTTACACGATTATCTATGTGGGCCACCGTCATGATTCTGTGTGGGTCAGCTCAAGGGTCGTGGTTATCGACAGACTGTGGGTCAGCTCAAGGGTTGTTTTTGTTTGAAGAATAAAATATATTTTTACCTTATATACATGTGTTTGATTTGTAGAAATATCGGCTTTACTTGAAACGGATAAGTCAACAAGCTAACATGGTGGTGGCATTTGGGGGAAGCAAAGACGCGTCATCTTACATGCGAATGAGTTCACTGGAAGGACTCGGTGATTTCCGGACACTATCAGCTTCCGGAAGATTACCGGGTCCCACATTATCATCGTATTCACCTTCCGGAATGCTTGGAAGACTCAATAGTGCAACTGGAATGACACTACATAGCCTCACTTCACCTTCTATAATCCAACCAACCCACACCCAAAACTTAACCCATTCCATCAATTCCCTCAACAAATTTCAACCCGTTGTGTTACCAACACCACAAACTCATCAAACACACCAAAACACAAATCTTTTTCAATCCCCATTTGATCTTACTCATCATAAACCAAATAATAACACCCAAATCCCGGATTTCACTCCCATTGATGAATCTAGAATCTTTAATGGTTCTTTAAAGATGGGTTCCATGAGTTCAGAATCTTTCAACCTAGTTTCAAGTAGTTCCACCTTTCTTGATGCCCCGATCCCGCCACCAATCGGGGATACTTTCCATGACCAATTGCCGCCTAATGGCGGCCTGAAATACGGTTACACCGCCGGATTTGGTTCGAGTAATATTACCACCACGGCCTCGGTGCCGCTTGAAGTTCAAAGCCAAAGGCAGGGGCAGTATGGGAAACAGAATTATGGGCAGTATTCGAGTAATGGTTTTAGCACGTTATCTGCCTCGGCACCACCACTAGGTGGTGGTTGTTTGGGCGGCAATGGTGCACTGACAACAGCTCCGGCTATGCAACATAACAGAGGGAGTGAGAGGTCAAGTACTGAACTGAAAATGGGACCCGGTCAAGAGTATTTATTGGAGCATTCGAAGTTACTGAATGGTTTTGTTGCAAATAATGGTTATGACTCGTTGGATGATCTTATGAATGGAATGATGAAAAGGGTATATGATCTTTTTTTTATTGTTCTAACTTTTTTGCAAATTTACCCCTCATTTCTTTTACGACTTCAATTTTGATTTTAAGTTTGGCCCCTCAAAGATTCAAAAATCTGATTCTGGTCCTTCAAACTCTGTTTTTTATGCAGGAGCAGGACCCGACAATCATAATGGATGGAGAATACGGATTTGATCCTTATTCTTTCGGTTCATGTATATGATGATGAAGGATCATGGATGGATAAAGTAATTAGCTCTTGACTCCTAGAGATCGATAAAACAAGGCTGCATCAAAAAAACTAGGTTTTTTTTTTATTAAATGAGAAGTTTGTATCAATATGTAATTTAATTTCCAGGACTATTTATGTCTAGCTACTTCATTATTATCTTTATCAACTTACACCCATGTTTTCGTTTCATGGGTACAACTGCAAAAATGTTTTTTTTTAGTAATTCTTGAATCCATTTATGGATGATGTACGTGTCTTTATGCATTACATACAAGTTATTGTAGCATTAAACTTGTCGATACCCTCTTAAAGTGGTAAGAAAACATTTAAGCTGGTCAAGATCTTACATATTGACAAAATTATTGCATTATGAAGAACAAAAAGCTCTATAAAACAAACATTTAGTGTACATAAAGAAGTACTACGACTACTACACATGTAAAGTCAATCAATCAAGTTGAACAAGTTGAGCTCTTCTTTCTGCAGCTTTCTTCCTTATGAAAATCCCCCATCTTAATGCAGCCTTGAGTTTAAGCCACCCAACAACCGCCTTCCCTGAACCACGCCCGGGACCCACCGGACCCACCTGTGGTTCATGAGCAACATGGTTATGATAACCGTATGAACCGTTGTCATAAACACCAAAAGTTGACCCCGTTACACCAACCCCAAAGCTTCTAAGTAGCTTTTGCATATCATCAGTTTCCAACATCTCCGAGCTTCTTAACCGGACTTCCTCCGAGAAAGAGTCACCGAACCCGTGTCCATCGTCTGGGCTCTGGCTCGACCAACCATCTGAACCGGTGAAGGTAGATGGTGCACCGGGCACATAGTCATAGTGGGTGGGTGGTGATGATTGGTGGGTGGTGGTGGTGGTTGATGAACCACCACCACCACCACCACCTAGTGTTTGAGTTTGATCGGAACTTATAAACGGATATTCAATCAAGTTGTGAGTAGGTGGTGAAGGGTAAGTTAACGCGCTTAAAACTTTCCCATCGTATTCTACCACTCTATTCCAATTCTCATATGCTCGTTTCACAAGTGAATCTACTGAAATCTGTAAAATGAATTATCAATTTCTTTTTGTAGAAAAGAAACAAAGGAGAAAAAGTGTTGTGTAGACCTTTTGGTTGTGGTTAAGTGATTCCAATGGAACAAATTGAGCATCTGAAATGAGACCTCTTAGCTCATAAATATGGTTGAAGATAGCACCAGTGGTGTGACCTAAATCTGCATAGTATACATACAACTTCCCTCCTAAAACACAAGTCTTTGCATGCTCAACTGTGTTTTCCCACATTCTATTTGACATTCCACTCCCTAGAATCTGTGTTCATTAACATATTAGAAACAAAAGGTTTGCAAAAGGTAACAAAAAAAATAAAAAATGTTACATTTCTCAGTCGTTGTGGATCCCTAACAAGAACACGGAGAAAATCCTCTACAGTTATGACTTCAGAATTCATTAACTTTTTGTGCAATGCTCCATCTTTTGCTATTCTATCCAATCTCCAAACTTCATCGTGTAAAGCAGGCGGATAATGTTTCTTGTACACTGCAAAAGTAACAGACACAGACACAGTCACAGTCACAGTAACAGTAACAGATGTTATGCAAGAAACTGTAAGTTGTAAGTTTCGTACGTTCTCCTCTATGATCTTTAACAGCAAAAGCCTCGGTTTTAGCTTCACGAATTCTAATTCCAACACAATATCCAGAAGCTACCTTCAAACCAAGTCTAAACTTTCTACTTCGAATCCAACTCGAATTATCTGTAAAAGTAAGATCACCCAAAGTTCCAACTCCTTCATTCAATGTGACTTGTGTCTCCCCTGTTAAAAGTGGTCTTTTTCCTTCACGTGCTTTGACTTCATGACTTTCAAAATGCTCAGTGCTCCAGTTTTCATTGTTTTCTTCATTGAAGTCGCCTTCAAGCACTACTACATTCAGTTTTGATGATGATTCTTCTCCAGTTTGTATCACATTCCCTGTGGCTGCATCTAACAACACAACATGTATAGCTGCTCCTTGCTCCCCTTCAACTTTGCCACCTGTAAATAGATGAGGTGGCATCCTTGTTCTAAATTCAAGCTGTAAAACTTTTCCTTCTTGACCTTGTATTCTTGGTGGTGAAGATCTGCTGGAACATTATACTTCTTAAAAAAGCAGTTCAAAATTATAAAGGATATAATATCTTTACCTTCCATCAATTTGACCATGTCCAAATCTAGTCAAAGCACGCTCTACTTCTTCACTTACCTGTTTTCCCAATACATTATTGTAAGCGAGAATTGATGACTAGATTAATCTATTCAGAGTTATAAATTAGAGTATAGTTTGAGGTAAAAAAGCGAATATCACAATGTAAATACTGAATCTGAAAATTTTTAGGTTGGAATCTTTATAATGAAGAAAAAAGGACTTACAATTCTACGGAAAAGAGGCTCTAAAGAGGAGCAAAGTCTTTGCAAGCTATCGACCTTCAAAGCTTCCACAATTACGCTGGGAGAAAAATAAAAAATCATAGCTTGTTAAGATCGCAAATAGAAACACAAGGTGCTAAGATGGGTTCTTTGAGACATTTATACAAACAGGTGGAGATGATTATGCACAGACAAACAATAATCATTTACGAAACTAAGATTTATAACAAGAAAATAAATAGAAGCAATTAAACGAACCTCGCTAAACCCGGTACTTTGGGTTTCTTCGATTGAGGCATACCATCATCATCTTCTTCGTCGTAAACTCTCTTCTCAACTCTTCTACCTCCTCCTCTTGACTCATCCATATTTCTGAAAAACAACACTAAGTCCCGCAACTTTAACGAACCATAAATGAAACAGTTGCAAGAATCTTCAATACCCAACTGGAATAAAGTCGAAAATCAATTCAAGTTTGAAGCAGAAAACACTATGATCTGAAATTATCGATAACGATGAAAAAGACAGAAGAAGAATCTTATGCTGGGTGTGTTGTCTTTCGGCCAATAGATCTGTGGGGATTAATTTAATGATTTGTGCGTGTGTACGAGAGAGAAAACAGCTGGGTTGAGTCGGTGGATTAATTACATGAATACTGAATTCATGAATCTTGAAACCGAGCTTGTTCTTTCCGATCTGGAACTGGTAAATTAGAAGTCAAACTTTCATTTGGCAGTTGACAGAACTACCCTTGGTGTTTGGATTTTGCCAATTTACCCTTTTTGGTTTTCTGCATGCATGTTAGAAATTGGAACAATGACTTGGATATTTATTAGATATGACAAAATTTATTTTGCTTTTGATTTGATAAAATTTTGAAAATCAGATTTCAAGATGTATATAAAGATTTGTAAAAAAAAGTTATACTCAAAGAGTAAATATAAGATGATCCAAGCATCCATTTGATAAAATCTTTATCTGATTGTCAAATTTTAAGACAGGAAAATTCATGAAATAACAAAAAAAAAAAAAAGAAGGTGTATTTAAAAAATATAACTAAGGAAATTGAAGTTTCATAAAATGACCAAACTTTCTTTAGAGGAATTGACGTGGCAAGTTAAAATCACAAAAACACAAATAAAATATCAAAAAAATTCATTGTAGATTGGGACAACCTTTGCTGTCGAAAACGAGTTAGTTGGCTGGTGAAGAAAGGTTGACATCGATCGGAATCGAAAACGGCCAGTAGTGACGAGGAGAGGAGATTGAAAGAGTAATTTGAATCAATGTTTTAAAACATGCTTAGGTTTAAAAAGGTATTTTGTCGTAGTTTTTTTAGTTTAAACGGTTAAATTGAATCAATGTTTTAATATATGCCTATCGAACGAGTAATTTGAAGCATTTTATGGCAAAATTCATCAAAAAACAAAGATTTTCAGTAAAGATCAATTCCTCAGAGGGTATAACAGATCTGTAGAGGGCTGCTTTGTGGATCCGCAGTGACTCTGCGGAAATGTGGTATTTAAAAGAAAAAAGTCCAGAAAATGGTTTTTTCAATTTTTAGATCAATTAATGTTTTTTCAATTCTGCAGAAGATGTACACATTGCGCATAAACCGTCTCTGTAGAACCATCACTTTAGAAATCAACTTTTTGTCTTTTTGCATATGTGTCTAATTTCTCAGAGAAATTTGAGTTACGCAGAACCAAAAAGATTTCCTCAAAGACTATCTTTGAGGAAAATTTGCTCATTTTGTGAAACTTCAATTTTCTTAGTCATATTTTTAAAAGACATCTCATTTTTTGGTTATTTCATGAATTTTCTTTTTTAAGACATATTATTAAGGTTGTGTTTGATGCGTTATACATCTAGTTTATTTTTCGAACTTTAAAACTAAGAAGTAACTTATAAAGTATTATTTTCAAAACTATTTAAACTAGCTTTTTAAGAATTTATTTAAAATTTTTAATGAATATACTCTTAATTAATTATAAAAAATCTTCTTCTAAATATAATTTTATATTTTCCATTTGGCTTATCAATTAGTCTTTTTTTTACCGAACTATTATTTTTATCAACTAATTTTTCAACTAACAATTAACTTTTACTATTTTAGTATTTTACAACTTTAGTATGGTAAGTTGCATCCATTATGTACTTTAATTTCGCTTTACCTTTCTTTAAAAAGTGTATTTTAGATTTGGGATTAATATCCAAATGTATTTTTTCCGCTAAAAAATAGGTACTTGACAATTGATATTTTCATTTTAATACACAAAGACCAACTAACAAAATATAAAAGAAATGAGAAATTAAATATAATTCTATCTTTTATTCTTATAAATCTTTCTACCTAATTAAATTATGACAATGTAACATTTAACGAAATTTAAAGATATTTTAATATATTAATTTCATACACGTGATCTTTTAAATGGATAGAATGATTGATTGAAATAAAAAATAAAAGGATGTTTAATTTATCAAAAGAAATTAATGTATTTATCAACTTCATGTCATCAACATATCACACTCTAACTTAAAAGAGTAATTTTTACAACGATTTAATTTTACAGAAATCAAAGTTCAAAGAAAGATATCACCCCATCATTATCATATTCACAAAAATATTTATTACAAAATTCAAAGAGATAAGTCGCTCAAACTCTATCATTTTCATATTCATATCAACCACTAATATTTATTACTATTAGTTTAGCAAATGAATCATATTAAGAGAAAATATTCTACAATATATAGAAATCGGACGACGGTTCATGCCTTGTACAAATTATAAATATGTGTAATATATATATATATATATATATATATATATATATATATATATATATATATATATATATATATATATATATATATATATATATATATATATATATATATATATAAAATGATTTTCATTTGTAAATATCTACAAAGTAATACTACCTCGTCCCAAATTAATTCTTTACTTTTGACTTTTAAAGTCTTTTTTCTTCAATTTTGACCTTAAATACATTTATTTGTGTTATATATTACTTGATAAAACTTAAAAAAATGAAAATACATTTAAAATACAAATCATATATATATATATATATATATATATATATATATATATATATATATATATATATATATATTACATCAAGTATTATCTATTAAAAAGAAAAATATTTAAGGTCAAAGTTAAAAAATAAAAATTGAAAAAGTCAAATATAAACAATTAATTTGGAACGGAGATAGTAATTTTTTATAAAAAATTAAAATAAAATATTACAATTATTCTGAATCATATCATAAATATTTTTCATAATCATAATATATTGATTGCTTTCACATAGAGGTTGTATGTAAATAATATCAAATGATTTTTTAATTATTTTTATTTGTAACTAGAGAGGTTTCATGCGCGTTGCGCGTGGCGGAAGGTGTTCATTTTGTGAGACAAATAATGAAATACATTGTCAGAATTAGTTTCCATAATAAAGTACATTGCTATTCTGTGTAATTTGTCATCAATCAGATGAGTAGAGATGCAACAATAAATCATAATAGTAGAAGAAGAATAAAATTAGCAGTTTAACAGTTCTTTGGGTTGTCCAAAAGCATGTTTTAAGTCTTCACATCTCTATGTACAATCTTTTGAGATGTGGGTAACCCAACCTATTACAAATGTTGTTGATAATTCCAAAATTACCCTTACCAGCAAAAAAAAATATGGCATCAAAAGTAGAGGTTTCTGCCGAGATCGTAGATAACATTACACATGTGGACACTTTTAAACCGGAAAGGAAGAAAGCTATGAAAAGCAAGTTGAATCCATTGAATGCATTCAACAAAAGGAAGCAGAATTAAACCCATTATTCATAGAAATAATAGAAAAATAACCGACTAATGAAATCAGCAAAAGGAAAAAGAACCTCAATTGAAGCTAATGCAATAGTTTATTTGTGAGGGAAAGTCAAGAAAACCCAAAAGAATTAAATTGCATTAACAAATTGAAAACCCACATATGAATTAAGTTCGTCACATATTCCAAGGTCATTAACGCCAAACAATACTGAAGTAAGCAATATTTGTGGAACTAAATTCAAAAACTAAAAAATTAAAACTATCACATTAGATTTAGTTTATCACTTAAGCTAAAAGAATTACCTTCGATATGTAGTAATGTAGTTTTCCTAAAGAGTCGTCTCACATTGGCCGAAACTCGTTCGTTCTCTTATGTTTATCTTTCTTCCTAAAAGAAAATAAATCATAATTATTGCATCCTAACTGACTACGTACGTACATAAGAAAAAGATGCAAAAGACAGATAATATTTAAAAAAGGACGGTGGAATAGAGTATTTCTCCCTATGCATCATGTTTGATAATTTGGTACATCTCATGATACGTTTTGTTGAGTTTCTTGTTTAGTAGTATGGACAAACGTACTGCTGGATGTTCATAGCAATTGATTGGAAAGTGAATTGAGATTTGGCATGCAAGGTTGTTTGTTGGAGACACCTTCAAATAAGTATGGAAATTTTATGCTATTTATCATACAAATGGTTGATCTAAGGTATACTTTATATTAAATGGATGAAAGTTGAAAAAAATATTAAAGAAATAACAGTTTGTAGATAAATGTCAAGAGATAAAACCAACTTTAAAGTTTATTGAAGTTATGGAGGTTAATTTCATAGCTTAAAAGCATGATTGGATCAAGATCAGTTTAAACTTTGAATCACCAAGTAATCTTCCAAAATTTTAAACAAAATATTCCGAATATCTCTAAAACAATGAGATGTAAGAGCAATTGAAGAAGGTCAGATTAAGCAACAAACTGACAAATACTTGTGCTAAATTCATAGATATTTGTGCATCTTTTGAATACAGAGCATAGACAATACCATGTATGATATATGGCCATGTGTCCCGCAAAATGATAAACAACTTACCAGTCTCTTTTTAGCGTTTTGTAGTGCACAGGAACGCTGAGAAACCAAAAAAGTAATATGATCGATAAGAATCCTGTAGATACTCTGAGACACAACATTGTTAGAATAAGATAAGCAAAAGAAAAGAAACTTAGCGATGAATTTTCAAAGAGATCCAAAATATAAGGAAGAAGTTAACTGAAATAATTTCCTTCGACAAAACCTAGTATTATTACCACTAGATTTTAGTCTAATATTTACCGTGACAAATTATTAGTCTTATTATTATTATATAAGCGTTTAAACAATATTTTCCAACCACTATGTACAGACAGGGGCCATACATAAAACACCGGAGGGCATGACCATTTTGACATATAGCACTTCTGAAATCCAACAACCCTATGTGACCCTTTAAATCAGATTCCTCGTACCACGAGTAGTTAAAAAGCTATTATAACGACACTTATATAATAATAGTTCAAATATTTATCATATTTTCATAATAACAATACTAATTTTAAATATAAGCTATATTAAAATAGGGTAAGCATAACTTACTTACAAGGAGGTTTTAGCTAGGAGTCGGGCTCTGAAGGGGCAGAACTTCGTTGCTGAATCTTTCTAAGAAAGATTCGTGCAGCGCTTCAACGCTCACCTTACTATACTAAAACTATAGAAAGAGAAGTCGAATCACGAGGGGCCGAAAATGCTCGGGAGATAAGAAGAGAAAGACTCTTGAATCAAGAGAATGGTGCAAGAAATATGAGAGCCCAAGCCTCTTATTTATAGTAATTGAATTTACAAAAACTACCTTCCATAATTACTTAATGACCTTATAGTTATATAAACGACTAAACACCCCTTCATAATACTATTTTAAATAGATTTAACGATATTTGTACTAAAATAATGTCGAAATTACTCAACACTAGTCTTATAATAACCGCATCATCGATACCTTTCTAATGATATATACATTTGTGTGTGTGTGTGTGTGTCTATATATATACATACATATATATATATATATATATATATATATATATATATATATATATGTGTGTGTGTGTGTGTGTGTGTGTACGTATATATGATTTATACTTTATTTTAATACATAAATATGCTATTATAATTTGTAACTCGTTCATACGAACTCCATTTTTGACGTTCTTTATATCCACACGTTGGTATTTACGAGTACTACAACTTTTATTTAGATGTCGTCAACTAAT